AGTGAAAGAATTTATGGCAGCACTAGTACACAATATGCCCAGCTTAAACAAATGCACTAAGATTGAAATATCCAGAATCATGGACCTTATCAATCTCTATCTCACTACCTATTTTCAATTTGATGGGCAAATACACTATCAAATCAGAGGAACATGCATGATATCACCAAACTCAGGAATCATAGCAGAGACTTCATTTGAAGCTGACCATTTTTGATCATCCTTGCCCTTTTCTCCACCTTTTCTGATGCTATTTAAAAGATGTTCTATTCCAATTTCTTTTTTATTCTTATTTACCTCTTTTATCCAAGTAGCATTCTTGTTAAATTTCTTCGCGTTGTCCCATAGCTGTTCCCAGAATGACACTGTTTCTTCTTTGTCAGGTGTAGACTGGTAAACAGTAAACTGTCCATTGATAGATTGGAGAAACATTTCTGATTTACTGAAAATGGAGATTCTGTTATAGTGTGCAATTCAATCATCATATCTGCTGATCTTCTTGGCTTTAGCTGTTATTTGCTGCTTTATTATTTCCAATGCTTCCTTAATCTTACTTGTTTCTAGGTAATTTTTCCTGAACAGGTATTCTTTGGTCTTTTGTACTTCAGGTTTTTTCCCCCTTTCATCTCTTCTAGCTTGCTTGCATCTGGTCTTAACTTGCTGATCATAATTTCCAGCCTGATCTTCCATTCTGATGATGCACTGTTTGGCTTTTTTGTTTGTTAATTTTGCATCTCAGTATTCAGTTATAACTGCAGCTGTGCTGTACACTGACTTGTAACCATTTGTTTAGTTACTGTTTGAAGTTACAATAGCAGTGAAAAAAAGTGGCTTATGGTCATTTTTCCCATTTATGACCATTATAGGATCTCCATGGTCACATGATCAAAATTCGGCTGTTGGGCAACTGGCATGTATTTATGATGGATGCAGTGTCCCAGGGTCATGTGATCACCATTTGCATCCTTCTGACAAGCAAAATCAATGGGGAAATAAGATTCACTTAACTTTACTAATTTAACAACTGCAATGATTCACTTAACAACTGTTGGCAAGAAAGGTCATAAAATGGGGCTAAGACTCACTTAACATAGCAACAGAAATTTTGGACTTAATTGTGGTTGTAAGTCGAGGTTTATCTGTAGTTAGTTTGTTTCTTGCAGTGAGCTGGTGCTTATATTTGATATTATAGTATTGACATCTTTTTATACTTGTGCTAGCTGTTTCTTTGGAAGAAGCTTCAATGCAGCCAACCTTATTCTGTTGTTTTTGTGCTATATTACATGCTCAAACATTCTTTGTTTCAGTTCTTTTACTTTTTTAGTTAGGGAACTTTGTTCTTTCTGAGGAAAAGGCAGACAAGAGGGTGCCTGGTTTGAGAATGAATAAAATTAAATAGCTATGCTGCTGCTAACTACTTATGCCTTGCCTCTACAGTCTGAATTATTTCTGGCAAGATTTTTATTTCTTTGCTCTGGGTGGATCTTTGAATTCTTCCAATACTGCTTCTGTGAACACTTTATTTCACATTATAAATCAACAGATGATTACACAAACTGATTATAAACAACAACATAACACAATCACCAAAATGATTAGCTGAAATATTTGTAAAACAAATTGTCATGTGCCAATAATGAAAAATCGGAGGGAATATAGAGTTGAAAAAGTAATCAAAAATGAGGAGTTAAAATATTGTGGAATTTCCAAATACAAATTGATAAAGTCTTGACTCATAACACACCCAATTTAACTGTGGTTGAATTATAGTCTAACTAATTAATTCTATTAATGTATTTTCAGCAAATCTAAGATGGTTTATTTTAAAATAAACTATTTGGGAGAAAAAAATGAATCTTTTCAAGAAACTTTCATGATTGAAACCAGAAATGCTAGCTTCATAGAGAGTAACTATAAAGATACAATTGCCAATAGGCTGAAGCAGCCTAGAGAAGAATTAAATTAATACCACAGAGAAGCTATACCAAAGGTAGCTGAGCCTGATCGAAACAAGCTGAATGAATGAATTTGCCCAGTAGAGTATATTTTTTAAGCTAGAGGTGAAAAAAGAAGTTCCTGAATAGAAACATGAAAGGAAGAAATAGCTGTCAAATAAACCTTTAAGGAAGACAGAGTACTTTTTTTTTTTTTCAAATCAGCAGGAATAAGAAGACCCCTGGTAGAGAACAGATACTCAGATTCAAAATTTGGAAGAGGTTATTAAAAGTGTTCCTCTTATAATATGAACATAATGTTAACAGCTTTCTGGATGGATAAAGCACTTCCTGAACCATTAGAGAAATCTTTATCAAATTCCTCAGGTGATCAGTAGGAATTTGTCTATCTCCAGATGCAATAGACCGAGACAGCAGATCTACTGTTGTTATCATGACAAGCAATGAAACTATCCAAGGAAGAAATGAATCAAATTTATGAACTGTAGCTGCCACAGCACCAAGTAGATGGCAGATATTATTGCAAAAATTCTTGTAATGAAATAAATTGATGGGAACAAACAGAACAATACAGGTAGTATACTGTTCATCTATGACAATTTGAGGCTATTATGGCACTGAATGAATGGTGATTACAATCAGTTCTTGGAGTTCTACTTGTCCCAGTACTTCCATGGGCAGGTAATCACGATCTGGATGCTTGGCAACTGGTTTGTACTTACAATGGACTGCAGACCCCAGTGTCACACGATAGCTATTTGCAACTTTCCTGCTGGCTTCCCCTGAAAATCAATGCAGAAGCCAAGAAGGAAAGTTGTAAGTTGTTGAGTAAGTCATCACCATCTATGTATTTCCCCCCTAGCTCCACTGTATTATGCATCCCCATGCATTGCCCCTCATATTGCATCTTCAAACACTCTCCAACCTATGCCACCTCTCTGATGCACTCTCACATACCCTCCCCATATGGTTTCTCTTGTGTATCTCCTCACAAATCCTCACTATGCTTCTCCCTTATTCCCCTGCACATTTGACAGCAGCTACTTAAATGCTTGCCAGCCTGGGACTCTCAACTTCTTGCCAACTTCTCCATTGACTTTGATTGTGGGAAGACAGCAGGAAGTTGCCTCACCTAACAACCATGGTATTCAGTTATCAATGGCAACTGAGACTGCAAAGATTGCCATTGCTATAAAAATATTGCTTGGTGATAGAAATTCCGGTCCCCTGTTGTTAAGCTAAGGACTAACTGTTTACATAACCATCTGCAAACAAATGAATAATCATGCAGCCCCAGATATATTACTGATCAACTGCCATATTGTTCATTAACAATTTCTATAGACTGAAGAAGTCTACCTAAGAAGTTTCCATCAAGAGGAAGTACATCAAAATATCTACATCTTTTGAGCACTCACTCGTGTGTGCAAATCAATACTAGATTCAATTTATTGGTGAAAGTACTAGGAGCTAATTTAACAGAGATATTATCAGGATATCTTAAGGCTGATTTAGCCAGCTTTTCTGGAGAATGGAGCTGACTGACAGACTCAAACTGCTACAGCAGGAAGCTACAGTAGGAAGCTTAGAATTACTAGTCTAATAAGAATTTCAGGGAGCCCCATAAAAAAGAGTTTGAGTGATGTTCCAAGACACTGGGAAGTCTAAGAAAGTCCCAATACTTACAAGGAGCATTGCATATGTATGTTCAGAGGTAAGAAAATATATCTGTGCATGTACTGAAGACACAAATTGTTATTACTGTTGCTGTTTTTTATTTTGGTCAACTCAAGGCAGCAAACATATCTAATACTCTTGCCTTTTTTCCTCAGCAAGACCTAGAAGTTGGCTGCAATACATACTTAACATGAACCAGTTATCTCACAGGTTTTTGGAAAGGAAAATGCTGTTCTTCTGATTACAATCATATCTTCTTCTCCTATTATATATCCAGATCATCTACACTGACCTACCTACCTTCCCTAGATTGTTTCATAAATGGAACTCTGTGTGAAGTTATTTGGATTGGGATCGTTTCTAAAATTAAACAGATCTATTAACCTGACAGCACTGTGTTTACTGTTAAGCATTTCATGAATCACAGTCTGGTTTGGAGGCATCACTGCTTCAGACAAGAAGGCTGTGCAGAGAGTGGTGAGAATGGCCGAAAAGATCATTGGCAGTTCGCTCCCTCCCATCCAGGACATAGCACAGAAGCGCTGCTTGAGCAGAGCCCGTAAGATTATCTGGAACACTACACATCCTCTTCACGACCTGTTTTCCTTGTTACCTTCTGGGAGGAGGCTTCGTGGTATCCGAAGCAGAACATCCAGATTCAGCCAGAGTTTAATTCCATACAGCATTAACCTTACAAACTCTCAAGCTTCCTCCTTCCGTTATATATTCAAGATGGACAATATTTAATATTTATTGCTATGTATGTGTAGGGATGTGGGTCTATACATATGTTGTTCATAGTATGTTTAGGTGTATGTCATGTATGTGTTTCACTTTGAGAGCGGGCAACTAAATTTCATTTTTGATGTGTGCCACTGTGCCCACAGTATAAAAATGACAATAAAGGTTATCTTATCTTATCTTGTCTTAACACATCATTTAAATGATGAGTAATTCATGCTATATTGAGAAAGCCCATATTGCATTTAAAAACTATCAAAGTAATGAAATGTATAAGCAATACATGAATGTGTGTTTCAAAACAGAAGTTTGTTATTTTCACATCTAGATATGCCAGAAAAATAACAATGAAGAACAACTTTTAGTTTATAATTAAGGCAATCATCAATCCAAAGATTATAATCCTTTTTATTTCATCTCCACATCAAAAAATTTTAAAAAATTAAAATCCCTTGAAACATAAGATAAATGAAAATGTAAGTGCTTCACACATAATAACAGTAAGCTGACCCTCTGGGAAATAGTTGGCTTTCTCAATTCAAGTGATTCAAAGCTCATTCAGAACTGTTCATTTAGAATGCAGATATCAAAGTTGATGCAAATATTCAAGAGAAAATTAGAGCTTACCAGATGTTCTAATCCAGTTTTGATGTTTCCAGCATCTCTGAAATAGAAGAACAAAAATTCTAAACAATTATTAATCGTTGGTATACAATTATTCATGTTGAACTTCAAAAGTTATAATGATCTGTCCTTTTGTTTAGTTTGTTTTAATATCTGAAGCTATATAATTGAATAAAATCTAAATGCATCCTCTAGTATAATTCCAAAATGTCTTTACCATAAATCTAAAACATAAAATGAATATGAATATATAACAGAATAAGAATGTGAATGCATATGATTGCTGATAGTTGCTAAATTTTAAATCACTTTATTAAAACCAGAATGTATATACCATTTATAAAAAGAAATGTTTTCAATTATGTGCAAAGCTCAAATTCTCCAACTGAGAAATATTCAACTGTTTATTCTCCCAGGAATAAGAAAATTGTTTCTATGTAAAAAAGTATGATATTAACATCTAAACAAAGTTGACTAATAGCACATGATTAAAAAATTCAGCTGATTCATCTAACTTCAGAATGATGCGGATTTAGGAGAAACAATATACAGTACACAACAAACAAAAATAAAAAGTTGTAGTCAATTTGTTCAATATTCTATGATCAATTCACAGGGCACTAAATCTATCGAGAAAGAAGATGATGACTCAAATTTTGTGTCAGTAGATCCAATATAAATCATTGATAACTTAAATCATAGCTAACTTGCATCACTGTTTCATATCTATCTCTAATCATCCTACAAATCAGCAATCTCTTCAGGATCATAATGCCCATGAATAAATTTATACAACAAAACTCATATACTGCCAGAAATCCTTGTTTATAAAAAGCAAAAATTCATTTGTATTTCTGGCAATAAAAAATACACTTATGATAAACCAGTGCTTTTATTTCTCTATCATCACATGCATTAAACATTTTAGCAATTCAATTAAGCCAGGGGCCAAATTATTTTAGAATTTAAATTTATTTTCCATGCAATGAAAATAGACTTCAACCAATCTTTTATTTCTTATTTTTTTATTGGTTTGTGGTTTTTCAAACAGAATATTATCAGATTGCAATTTTTCTATATTATTTCCTTACTATTCAGATTTTTAAAAAATATGAATTACATTCATCTTTGTATTTTTCTCTAATAAACAAACTATAATCTAATATAACCCTTTCTTAAAGGTGCATTATAAAATAAAGGAAATTCAGAAATTATATATTGGTTTGACCTTAGTGCAGGAAAGGAGGCTGGTTCAAAAAAAATGTTTATTTTTTTTTTCACTTTTCAACAGGTGATTTTGTGGAACTGTGAAATAATAAAACAAGACTATGTGCAAAACATATCCTACTTTTAATCAAAATGATATTGTATAAGTTAGAGAAAAATAATATTTTCCTGGACTGTAAATTAGACTACTAACCAACTGCCTGTAGGCATTAATGTGGTAAAACACACATTGTGATATTGTTAATGCAAACTCTGCCCCTTTCATACTTGTGTGTGATATTAAACCTAGTATTGATGATGTTATCTAGTTGGGTAATGAAACATCTGCAAGAAAGCAACCAGGTTCAGCGAGCACCAAGGACTCCTCATTTCAACCCTGAGCTACAAATATTTTCTTCTATTGGTACCAATCAACCGTGTAAGAACTCAGTCACGGTAAGGAAGAAGCTCTCCAAAGAGACTTTCCTGACACTTTTTATAATCTTTTCCAAAATTTTATGAATGTTATCATTAAATTTTTGACATTCAGAATCATTAGATCAGTTTTAAAACTTTAAAACTTACATTTTTCTGTGGTTTATAATATTGTATTTCATATATTTATTGTAATCTATCCAGAGCATTACATGGCCAATATAAATATACTAATTGAATCTATAACTGACCTAAAGTGACTTACCAGATGCTCAGCTGGTTTGATGGATCTCTGTCTCTAAGTGATAATTTGGTCTACACATATATCAAGTAAATAAGTTTTGGATGCAGTCAAAGGACAATTCTGAGTAAAAGCTATAAAAATGAAGAATTTCTACATAAAAGTTGTATTATGATAGGAAGAATTTCCAGAGATAGCATTGAAATATTTATTTTACTTTGCTTGTAAAATGGTGAGCAACTAGGTGTTGACAGAATCTTCAGGGATTTATAGTCACAATAAATTATCATAATAAAATTCTTGCATTTGGGTATTTTTAATGTTCACATTACTAATAACAATTATAAAACTAATTATATACAAAATCTCTAAATAGTAATTGCTTAAACCCTTGAATGCATTTTGAAAATCTATTTTCAATCATTTCCATATATATCTTACTCATATTTTTTCAGATTTGAAATGTGCTAAACATCTATTCCTGTTAAGCTATGTTTTAAAAAAATAATCCCACACAGAAAAAAATAGTCTCATGAAACATGTAGAATAATAATCAAAATTTGCTATACCACATCATACATTATTAAAAGAAAACTGAAATCCTCTATTTATATTGGAGCTGAAGGTCATAATGAACTTAATTGCTAGGAAGCAGAACCCAGGTCACTGACACACAAAGCTTCTTGCTAATGGTATCAAATTTGTTCTCTTTAGTGGTCTGTCTCCTATGCTGTGCTTGTCACAACTTCATCAATATTTGCACAACTGTTTCTGCTCTGTGCTGAAAGCAGACTTAATTCAATTATAGATCTTAAAAGTGATAAAATGGTCCTGAAGTGGAAACGGGAAAGATATTATTGGCAAATGAATAAAGATCTGTATTGAACTAACACACGAGAGTATAGAAGATTTAAAAAAAAAAAAAAATCATTCCCTGTCTTAAGTCTTCTGGGAACAGTGAGTTTTCCTTTCCCCCATGCAGCACATTGATTTCTGAATTAGACTGCAATATTAAATAATTAATATACTTGCCATGATTGATGTTTTGCATTAGTTGAATATTAGGTTATCAATCAAAATCCACTTGGTTTAATGTAATAATATTGAAAAAGTGTCACTGTCTGTTCATCCAATTTGTAGTTGAAGGAGCACAGATAGTAATATTGGAATAACAGAAGGTTCTGAGGCAGGAAGTGCTCTAGATGAACATACTGTATATAAGGCCAACATTAGGAAACTAACAGTGACTTTGGGCCAGTTATTCTCTCTCAGCCCAACTCACTTCAAAGGGTCATTGTTGAGGGACTTACACTGAGGAAAGAGTATTGTTTGCTGCGTTGAGTTTATAAAAAATAATACAGGGGGATTAAAAATGTAAAAAAAAAATCTATATCTAACTATTTCATGGCACTCATCATTTTCAGTACAATTTTCTTTCAACTCTGAGATTTATCATGCAGTAAGATCTTGTCATACAGGTGGTCTTTACTTAATGACTCTTCACTTAGCAACTGTCCCAAGTTACAACTAACCCAAAAAAAGATATTTACAACCCAGATCCAAAGCTCTGATGGCTGCCCCTCCAATAATAATTTATTATTTTATTTAAAATACAATTAAATGAAAGAATTAACTCAGTAATAATAAATATAAGGAAAAAAGGGCTCCATTTGCCAAAACTGGGGTTATACATAATAAATAATTTATGTCTATAAAATAATCATTATTATCCAAGAACAAATAAAAGTATTTTCTGCTTCTGATGAAGTAGCACAGGTAGTCCTTGCTTAATGACCATTCATTAAGTAACCGTTCAAAGTTATAACAGTGCTGGACGAATGACAGTTATGACTGGTCCTTGAAGTTATGGCTATTGCAATGCTCCCATGGTCATGTGACTTAAGTTCTTGAAATTTAGCAGCCCACCCACATTTTTGACTACAACATGTGTTTCAACTCTCCCACCTGTCTATCTCCCCCATCTCTGCCCTTTTGGCCACCCTGCATTCCACCACCTCCATACCTCTAATTCCCGGCTGACCTTCACAGTCTTCTTCCTTCTGCTGCTGCTGAGGTATGTCTGGCCAAGGCAGCTGCTGCCCAATATGAAGCCTTGGGGGCAGGGGGGAGGAAGCAGAGGTGAGCACAGCAGGGTTGCAGACCCTTGTCTCCTGAAGAAGTTTGTCGTCTCATTATATATCATTTCTGAAATATTTAAATTCTATGCTAATTTCATTGTTTCTATCTTAATTTTCTATCCTTTTTAATTGGGAAACCTATTAGAATATATATACTTTTCTGTGACAACCTACCATTGAGGAAGGTGCTTGGGAGTGCATGAGTAAGGAAATGTCCCTGAAACGACAGGTCATGTGTTGTCTATTATGCTCTAAAGTTCAAGATTCTTTTCAAATTTATAATGAAAATAAGTAAATTTAATAGATTTTTGAAATTTTCAAATGGGTGTATATAGGTAATCCTTGCTTAACAACAGAAATTTGGATTGGAATTTCCCTTGCTAAGCAATGCAGTCGTAAAGCACAATGTTACATGACTGCATTGCTTTCTGAGAAATTATGAATAGGCCTATATCTATATGGAGGTATCAGAAGCTATGAAAATATTAAAACTGGCAAGGCACCAGGATCGGATGGACTACCTCAGGGGTGTCAAACTCAATTTCATTGAGGGCCGCACACCATTGCGGTTGTCCTCGGGGGGCCGGGTAGGTGTGGCCAGGATGGGCACGGCCTACTGGTTGGGCATGGCTGGAGAGGGTGTGTCTACTGGGTGGGCATGGCCAGCTCTACATCGTTCGCGTCAAGGGTGCCTTCTGGCAGAAGGGGGTGGGACCAGGGCAAGTGCCAAGGCATAGTCCACTGGAAGAGCCTGCCGAAACCTCTCCCCCGGACCTCATCAAGCTGGATATGTGAAGTAGGCGAGTGCGATTTGCTGGCCACTTCCAGGCAATGGTGCATTTCTTCATTACTCACAAAGGGTGACACCTCCACAGCATGCACCCAGGGGACGGGGCCGATGCAGCAGGGGCTGGTTCCTCGCTGTTTCCAGACGGCCTTGTGGCGCTAAGACTGAATGTGTTTCAGCATAGATGGCCACCACAAAATTGTACATTGGCTCCTGGCCGGCCTGGGCCTGGG